CGGCTCGGTGGCCCGGCGGCTCCCTTGCGGTCGGTCTGCCGTGGGGCGCGCGGGTCGGCCTGGCCCTGCCGACGACGGGCTGGTGCGCGTCCCGTGCCCGAGCGGAGCGGGCCGAGGTGTCAGGAGAAAGTCATTTTCCCGGCGAGAAGTTGTGCACAGAGAAGTCAAGACTCCTTGCGGCGGCGGCGGCGGGCCGGGCCGGGAGCCTGCGAGGGCCGAGCCCGCCTGCTGGAGGACGAGCGTTGCTCCGCGGCGCGCTCGGGGCGCAGGAGAACTTATACCGTGAGCAGGCAGGGAACAGGTGGTGGCAGGTGGGCGGCGGCCCGCTTCCCCCGCACCTTCCCGCCCCGGGAGCTCGGGGAGCCCGCAGCGCCCCGCTTGCCGCGCCATCTGGAGCCCGCGATCCCCAGCCGCGGGAGGGGCGGACCCTGAGCCCAGGCTTAGCTCACGAGAAGGGCTTGCGTGAAGATGTTGATTTAGGCGTTATCTGACATATCGGAAGTCTCCTGTAAGATTTAGCTTTGTGGAGAAGCGTGACAATTTTGTACGATGGTGATTTAATATGTTGAGTTTTTATTTTCTCTATTAAGGTTGGGATAAATCAGTAAGTTGTAATATTGCAGATCTGGAATCTTACTGTGCAAGTAATTTGGCTGCTTTCTGTCAAGTAATTCATTAAATATCAAAAGGCATTAATGTGTATTTGAAACTTTATATTATTCCAGCTGTGTATTTGGATTGCAAGTTTTGATGCCTAAGCAAACTAATTCGGTATCATCTCTTTCAGTTCCCCCTTCATAAAAGTCTGGGTCATACAAGGAGATGACAAACTAATCAGTTATCTGATATTTAAATCTAATAATCTTGATGCACAAAATGTAAACATCTGAGTAATTCATGAAGTTTTAAAAATAATTCCTACTGGAGTATTTTTGCTCATCTTATGAAAGTGTGAAACTATTTCATACAACTTCAGTGTTTGAGTTGTGTCACCTACCCGCAGGATGGTAAACAACTATGATTTCCACTGTTGACAAGGACTACATTCTTCATACGGAGAAGTCATTATCTTCATTCATTTCATTTCTTAAAAGGAATTAAGAGGCAAAAAAAAGAGTCCCAGATAGGTTCAATCCAGATTCACATTAGGGCATTTCAGGAAGACCAACTAACTCTTCTTAGAAATATGGGTATGTCTGCATTGTAGTATTCTCTGATATTTTAATTAAATTATCAACAAGCCCTCACAAATCAAGAGTCTCTTAACAGTGACTTGTTTCCCCCGCCATTGCCCCAGATCATGACCCCATTGTGACTGCCCTGACTCTGAGTCCTGTCTTCCCATAAATAGTTGATTAACGCCCAGCTAAAGCAATGACAATGAAATGAAGTTGAATAACCAAAGACAATGGGATGCAATTGAACATTAATGATCTTTGGCATGACAGATGTTGAACACAGACTTTTGTAAGGACCCACTCAGTTTGCTACTCTGAGTCCTAACAGTCTTGGTTGGGAAAAGCAGCCCTGTGGTGGGAAAGACATTTAGTCATCAAACTGCTAATTGGGGGCCTTTGAAACCTGCCAGTGCATGCCATTGTTTCTTGTGTTCCTTTGTCTCATCCCACTCCCTGAAGAGCCCCCCCCTTGCTCCGTGGAATGTTCAGCCTGTGTGCTCATGCTGGTCACCACTATCCAGTGTGGGTGGGATGTGTGCTTCTATAAACCTTGAAGGATGAGGGTGTAGCCCACCCACGCAGCTATGTCAGAACATCACCCCAAGATACCCATGACACGAACTGGGTCCGAGGACAAGGTGGAGCCCTCAAAGGGCCTTGGAGATCGCAGAGTGAAACCCTATGTAGGCATAGCCCAGGGTAGGAGCTAGAGATGCTTCTTTGGGAAGAGACATCCAGTGTCAGATAAGTTGGAGAAGCAGTCCTCTGCTTGACTCTCCCACCTGGAGAGTCAAGAATCAAAAGCAGCTCAGGAATATTTCTGAGAAGTTGTGGGACCAAGAAACCTATTGACTTCAGCATTGCCTAGACCTGACTGAACCTAGAAGTTCCTTCACCTTAGGAGTATCTATTAATGTTCTTTAGTTATTTTGTTTTGTTTTGCTTTTTTGAGACAACATCTCTCTATATAGCCCAGGCTGACCTCGAACTTACCAGTGTTCCTTCTGCCTCAGCCTCCCAGGCGCTAGAATTGCAGCCTTGCACCACCACACCTGGCTCCTTGGACACCTTTTCAAAAACCTATTCTAGTCAAGAATGGTGACCCATGTCTGTAATCCTGACACTCAGGAGATTCTAGCAGGAGGATCTCTGTGACTTAAAGCCCAGCCTGAACTTCATAGTAAAACCCTGTCTCAAAAAGCAACTCATTCTAGCACCTTCCCTTTATTTTATACAGGAGAAGACAGATACAATGACTGACACAGCACTTGAAGGCAGGGACCAATGTAATGAACAGACTAAAGCAAGATGTTGCATCTGCAACCTCTGATTTTAAAGGCTTTAAAGTTAGATTACTTTGGGCCCTTGTTTTACAAAAGACAACAGGAACCACTAAGAAGAATATATGCAGTGTGTTATTTGTTGAATCTGTACTTCCGATTTGATTTGAAACTGTCTCATTGCTGTTTATCAATAAAATTTTGAAAAAAAAAAAGACAACAGGAATCCACCAGTGACTTCCCAAAGATAGGCAAGTCCCTGATAAAGGTTTCAGGAATATAATTAGAAACAGCACTTACAGGGTAGTGTCATGTTACAACCCTGGGGTCTGGCACAGTGCCTAAAAAAGTAGTAAGTACTCAATACATAACTCGGAAGGAAGACTGCAACACAACAACAAGCTGATCCCACCGAGCATACTGGTGGCCGACTGTAGCTGCTGCCGAATCGTAGTTGCCCCTAGGCCGACAACTGAGTCAGACAAAGGAGAGCTCAGATAAACTAAGCCTCATGTCTCACTTTTGTTTTCTGTGGGTAAGCACTGCCTGATCTTAATGCTGGCCAAAGCTCATTGAACCTGTTATGGTTTGGAAGGATGCCTGATTCTGAAATTAAGAATTAAAGCAAGTTAAGATCTTTATTTAAATGGTTGCAGTTTTTGTCTTTTGACAGCATTATTTGGTGACTGGCCAGAAATCGAAAATGGTAGGTTTTGGAGATGACCAAGGGTGGGGCAAGAGGGGTAGAAAGGAGTAGAGACATAGGAGATGTGTGTACCTTAGGGGTAGAGACGATCAATGACTAGGATTTATTACAGGTGTGGAGTAGATTCCAGGGTAAACATTCTTTTACTATGATAAGCAAAGCCAGGTTTCACCAGAATGTGCAATCCCACTCATATGTAATCCAGCTACTCAGAAGGCTGAAGCACAGGAGGATTGCAAGTTTAAAGCAAGCCTGGGTAATTTAGCAAGTGTTTAAGAGGATTGGGCTATATAGCTCAGTGCTTATCTCACAAGCATAGAGGCCCTGGGTTCAATCCCCAGCATTACAGAAAGAAGAGAATTTCTTTTTTCTTTTCTTTCTTTCTTTTTTTTTTTTTTTTTTTTTTAGGGGTCTACAGGGTATACAGGGTCTCACTACGTAGATCGGACTCATAGTGAATCGCCTGTTTACAGCCTCCCAAGAGCTGGGGTTACAGGTGCATGCTACCCTACCCAGTCTCAATTACCATCTCAGTGGGCCCCGGGGGCGGGGCCAGCACAGCAGGCCCAGGGATTAAACCCCTGGCCCCTGTGCCTGCTTGCAGGAGCTTTAACCCACTGAGCTATTTGGTCAGCCCTAAGAATTACATTTTTTATTTTTTATTTTATTTATTTATTTATTTTTGGCGGGACCGGGGATTGAACTCAGGCCCTTGCGCTTGCCAGGGAAGCGCTTATTCCACTGAGCCATCTCCCTGGCACATTTTGTAAATAGACACTCCTACTACCATTTTTTGCCACAAAAGTTAATTACTGCAAAAGACCTAAACAATTAAAAAGGCAAAAACATTCATTCTGAAATTTGCAGAGGAAAATGAAGACTGGGGCTTCCGCATGGGGGCGGGGAGTGATGAGGCAGTCAGGGAGCTCTGGATCTCCAAGAGAAGCAAGCAGTGAGAAAGATTTGGTAAAGTTGAGTTCCATTGGGGTCTTAACTAACGCCCACAAGTGGAAGGTAATCTAGGCGTTAAAAGTACTTTAAAAAAAAAAGTACTTCATAGGTGCTGGGAGTGGGGGTGCCAAAAGGATTAATATGAGGAGAGAAAGGATGGAGAGGTCAAGTCTCCTACCCCTGCTTCCTGCTGCTCAAGGCCCAGGGAGGAGAAAATCCAGTGCAAAGTGGAGACTGAAAAGAGAAGACCAATCCTGGGACTGGGATGAAAACGGCAGCAGTGTGGGAGCCTGGCCAGGCCACCAGAAAAAGCACAGAGAACCCAAGGGCCCCAGGGACTGTCCAGCACTCGCAGATGTCACACAACTGGCCCACGGAGGTGTGCATCTAGCTGGTACCTAGCTAGCGGCCATGGACAGGTGGACTCCTGTGGCTTGAGCTCTGCCTGTACTCTTCTTGCTGGACCTTAGACCCCTCTTCCAACAGGACTAAAAGAGCAACAACAGTGGTAGCAGACATCTTGTCTTAGTTACTTTTTTGTTGCTGGGACAAAACATCCACACCCATAGGTTAAAGTGGGAAGGTTCACCTTAGCTCAATTTGCAGAGGTTTCAGTCAACAGGTGGTTGGGTCCAGTGTTGGGAGGCACAGCAGAGGGACATCACAGATGGGAACAGCTCATGGCATGGTAGGCAGGAAGCAGTGAAACTTCCCTCTTCTGTCCCTTTTTATTCCATCCAGACTGCAAGCCTGT